CTTAACTCTTCAAGCTTATTTCGGGCATTTACTTTGTCTCTCGCAAAGATGGCGGAAAGACTGTTCGATATAAAACTGATCCCCGAATTCAGTGGTGATACTAGTGGACAGTCTGTGGTTGAATGGATCGAAAAGGTGGAACTGGTCTGTGAATTATGCGGAGATATCGAAGATTGATCGGATTCTTCCTCTGCGATTAAATGGTGTTGCCTTTGCTGTGTATAGGCAGCTGAGTAAAGAACAGAAAAGCGACATCGAGCAAATAAAGCACGCTCTACTAACCGCTTTGGTTCGTGGCTCACGACCAATTCCAGGCACGGCGCCTGGCGACCTGGCGAGACAGTAGACGATATTTGGCAGAATTAAAGAAGTCGTTCCAATCGCACCGCTTCCTGAAGAATGGATGACATGTGCCTTCGTTTCTGGATTGCCCAGTCATGTTAAGCAGATACTCCGCCGCATCATCCAGAATGGAAGACCTGACGCCAATCAATTGCTGACCAGAGCCCGTGCTGTCATGATCGATTTAAAAGAGGCTGATGAACCAGTGGCCGCAGTTATTCAACCAATTGAAGTCAAAGAAGGTCCGACCCCAGCCATTCGTCACCATGGCGTCGCCACCTGCTATCGGTGCTCTGGGCCAATCATTTGCCAGAGACTGCCGCTTATCAACGCCAAGAAATGCGCAGCGGTCGCTAAAAGGCACGCCTCGACCCACGATGCTTTCAATGTCAGAAAGTAGGTCATATTGCCTCTAAGTGCCCGGGAAATGGAATGGGGACTTCCACGATGCAGCCCCTGTGATTAAGGTACGCATCAATGGAATAACACGAACTCGTTAATAGATTCAGGCTGCTCTCGGTCACCTACCAACGGTTGGGACGGCCGACAGTGGAGCAGACAAAAGATGGACGTACTAACGGTTGATGGAAAGGCTCTTAGAAGCCGGGAGTTGGAAACATCAAACTCAGTATTAATAACGGTGACCCTGTCACAGTCAGTGTGTTGGTCGTGGACAGCGCTGTTATTAGGGTTTCGATCTGCTCCTTGGGATGGACATTATTAAGGAGCTGGGCGCGACGACACAGAGGCAGGCGAAGTCAAGTTTTTGATCCGCCCATCTGTGCTACTTTGAAGATCAACGAGCCCGACTTTACGCAGAGTTCGACCAAAGGACGAAGACATGGACAGCATTTTGGAAATGGTCGGAAAATAACCCACCAGAAAAGCTCCAGAACCGAAAGTGTCAGAATATTCGTGCCCGAACGTCAAGGAAGAATACCAGCGCGAATTGCAGGTGTGGCTGGATAACAGATGGCTGACTCTGTATCCCGAGGAAGAGCTTGGTCCTCCAAGAGGCCTCATCCCATTGATGGCCGTGGTACAAAAAGAACAAGGGAAAGGTGCGCCCTGTACTAGATTATAGAGAACTGAACGAACATAGACACATACACAGCTCATGCTGATGTGTGTGCACAAAAATTGAGAGAATGGCGAACGGGGATCCAATGTCTCTGTGATTGACCTTCAAAGGCCTACTTGCAGGCACGCGTGCACCGGTCACTGTGGCCATTTCAGACGGTGATCCTTAATGGGACGAGGTACTGCTTAACCCGAATGGGATTCGAACTCAATGTGGCGCCAGCCATCATGAAAGCCATCGTGGATGCTGTGCTATCCCAGGATGAGACACCGCCGTCAAGCGACGTCAGCCTACATTGACGACATCTACATCAATGAAACCTTAGTACCCGCCACAGGTGAGAAAGCATCTTGCTGACTTTGGGCTCGAAATGTAAAAACCCAGAACGACTGGAGGATGGTGCTCGGGTGCTTGGCTTGCAGGTCTGGGGAGCACAACATGCTTTTACTGGAAACGTGGAAGCGAGCTCCGGACATTCCCAAACACATGACCCGGACGCAGCGTGTTTTCGTTATGTGGAAAGCTGGTGGGACATTTTCCCGTGGGCGGGTGGATCCGCATTGCAACTGCATTTATTAAACGTAGGGTGACTGCTGTCACTTTCAGCTGGGATGACAACAAATGATGCCCCCCTTAGACACATGATAGCAGAAGTCATTACTAGGGTGCGTCAAGATGACCCCGTACGTGGTAAATGGTGCGTTGACGGATGTGAATTTAATGTCTGGGTTGACGCAAGCTCCGTTGCAACAGGAGTGTCTCTTGAAGTAGGTGACACTGTCGTGGAAGATGCGTGTTGGTTGCGTCCCGAGAAGGATACGCAACATATCAATCTGTCAGAATTAGACACCATTATCAGGGGAGTCAACGCGGCCCTTCAATGGAATGCAAAGGTATTGCATTTATTCACGGATTCATGCGTGTATAAGTGGATATCAGACACTCTTACGGGAAGGCTAGGGATACGCACAAAGGCTGCGAAAGCGAGATGCTCATTCAAGGAGGCTAGACACACTGGGAAAGTTGGTAAGTGAATACCACTTATCCGTAGACATACAGCTGGTCAGATCACAGCAGAACAAGGCCGATATTTTAACAAGGGTACCCCAAAAATGGCTTGACGCTATTAAGAAAGAGGTAGAGCCGGTAGAACATGTCTGTGTAACATCAGCGAGCAACTATAACTCAGATTTACTAAAATCTGTGCATTGCCAAAGCAGACATCCCGTGTAAAACGGACCTTATATTTCGTGAGGCAGATTTATCCTCCGTATCCAAAGCTGCTGTCAGGGCAGTGGTCAGAGGATGCAAGGAGTGTCAGTCCATCGACCCAGCACCTGTGCAATGGCAAAAGGACAAGTGAGTGTAAGCAAGGTGTGGCACCGTGTTGGAATGGACATCACCCATTATAACAGACATCATTATTTAATCCTGATTGATTGTGGCCTAACCCGGTTCACTATTTGGCGGCGTCTGCGTCGACAGGATTCCGCAAGCGTCATTGACCACTTGGGGTCATTGTTCTTTGAACGTGGACCTCCGACGGAACTCCTCACTGACAACGACACTGCATTCCGCAGTGGACTATTCAAAGATTTTGTGGCTTCGTGGGGAGTATACCTCAGATTTTGCTGCACGTATGTCCCATCAGGGAATGGCATAATCGAGCGATGTCATTGGAGCATCAAAAGAATCGCTGCTAGGAAGCAGTGTTCCATAATGGAGGCGGTGTATTGGTACAATGTTACTCCGAGAGACAATAATGTATCGCCCTCAACTGCGCCAACCAACATGATTTATCAGTACAAAGTCCGGTTACGAGGCATTGACGCAACGCTCAACTGAACGGATAAACAAACGAGCGCCGTATGACTTGGGCGATCGCGTGTGGGTGAAATCTTCACATAGCGGTGTACAACCCGCACCGGTGGGGCATGTCACTGACTAAGTAACTCGCGTTCTGTGCTGGTTGATGGCATACCAAGACACATAAAGGACTTGCGTCACTATGTAGGTACAGATACATCAACAAGTGACACTAGCAGTGAGTGCTCAGAAAGTGAACAAATAATTACCATCGGAGGTAGGGCTAGCACCTCTTCAGATGGTGAAGACTCTGTGCGTGAGGTTGTCAGACCAGAAGAATCCTCAGAAGAAGAAGCTTCAGAACATTCTTCAGATGATGAAGACTCTGCGCATGAGGTTGTCAGATCAGAAGAAACCTCAGAATATAAACACACAATCTCCTCCAACAGTTGCCCCGCCCGGAGAAGCTTAAGAATAAAGAGGCCCGCCCATGTGACAGTGGGAGTGCAGTGAATGAGATAATCAAGTACCCCAGAAAAAGTTCGTGTTCAAATGCGATCTGCCGGGAGGGATTGCCAAAAAAGTTGTCAGAAAACTCTTATAGCGACTTACCTCGTCAATCCAAGCGACAGCAGCGTCGCGTGTATTCTGTGACGAAAAAGAAACAAGTCCGTCACAGGAGTCGTTATAAGAGTATATTAATATGCAAATTACGGAGCATCCTATCCCGGCTGTCAACTAATGGAAAAAATAGGTTCTGCCGATAAAAGCAGTTGGTGTTGTCGACTCGGGGAAAAAGAAAATTCAGGCAGTTTTGGCTACGGCGTTCGTGAGTTATTTTCCTGACACGTTACAAGTGATTTTCTTTCTTTATGTTGTGAAAGCCACAAATTTGCTTTGAGAATGCTAACTCTTCTCATGGCACATGGAACTAGAACAGTCTACCCCAGCGAGCAAAATAAAGGGTTCAGTTCAACATTCCAACCACCTGAAGAAGGCCGGAGCGTACAACGGTCGAAACATTGTGATAAATATGGCAACAAAGATGAGGACAATAGTCTGAATTATAATACTATGAGATGTGCTTGAGGTTACACTCAAGAGGCTGGCTGCAGCTTTCAAGAGAAGATGGTGATTCCATTTGTCAGTAAATACAATCTATGGGGGACCATGTGGTCCTTGATTGAGGATGTTTTTTTTTTCATTCTTAAACATTCCTTTCCTTTCCTCTGCACTGACCTTGTTTTGAAGTCTTACCTTTATTCTTTACATACTGAGGTCTCTTCTCATGTCTACAATGTAGAACCAGTGCAGTCATATGAACAGCCTATTAAGATGAAGCTTTGATATCTACTATGATACCACTAACATCTGTCTCTAATGTTAAGGATCCACGTAATAAAATAGGACGCAATCCTCACATAATACATGTCTTGATGTCTAGTCGACATTCATTTATGATGAATTCAGAAAAGAAACTAAAAGTTGGTGTAAAATTATAGACAGCCTGGATAAAATATGGTGATGACTGATGATTGCTATAAGAATTAACTTCTCCTTCCCATCAAAAAGGTCATGACCTACAAGTTTAGGTGATTGGTATACAAACACCTCTGTTTGCCAAAATATTTCTTGCCTTAAACACTAAACAACAGGAAGAACTATCTGAATCTAATGAGCTATTACAAAAACTGTTTTGAGGTTTGGCAAAGCGTTGGTAGGGAGGGTAGCTTATGGCTTAGAAAATGGGGAATAAAAAAACCAAACAAACCTAAATATGCAATGGCTTCCTTGGCAATGACATTCATTTCCAAAACAGTCAGGCTTCCCAAATTATTGATCATGATGGCTATTTCATCACCTGGAGGAAAAAAAAAATATATCTCTGAGTTTCTTTTAATCGCACAATATTCAGGAAGTTTTTTTTTTTTTCCTTTTCATTTGTAATGTCCAGGGAAAAAAAAAAATTGCAAACACCTTTGCCAAAAGCAATGTCCTAGTTTTCAGCTTTTCTTCTCAAAACATAACGAAAAACGTGTTTCAGAATCTCATGTAGGAAAATTGCAGCTGTTTTAAATAAAAAAATTACTATCCAAAAATTCTTGAGAATATTTATATTAAGTCTAAACAGCCTTCCCCTTGTAAGCAGATGGAATAGCCGTTGGGTCTAAATCTAATCTATCTGTGATTTATACTGTTAATTCTCAGGTAGTTTTTTTCTCCTCCCATTGTGCATATATTTATATTTTTATTCTCAACTAGCTCAACTGGTTTTTCTTTTTTAGTTATCTCTTTTTTTTCATTGTTAGATTTTTCAATCCACCATTTTATGGTGAGTAATTTTTTCTTATCCCTGCTCTTCCTTCCCATTTGTTTTGTATTTTTGTATATATTTGTATATATATAGTGGTTGTGAGTTCAATCCCTGGTTCAGGCAGTATGTACTTGCACTCAGTAGAAACAGGTGAGAAATAACTGAACAGTACAAAATAAAAATAAGAATGAGAAGAAAGAAACAAGAACAGAGGAATCATGAGCAGGGGAACAAGAACAGCCTACCCCTGTAGATTAAATAAAGGGTTCAATTCAGAATTCTCTTTACGTTAACCAGATCAATATACAACTGAGGAAGGCTGGTGATCCCAATGACCAAAATGCTATGATAACAATAACAAAGATTAGGACAATAGTCCAAATACAAATAGTGTAAATAATTTATATATACTTTTAAAATGTCTGCTTGTAAAGCCCTAATGAAATTTTGTATCCTTCACAGATTATGTAAATATTAGTAAATATTATGTAAATATTAGTAAATATTATGTAAATATTAGTAAATATTAGTAAATATTATGTAAATATTAGTAAAACCTGAATATTTAATTATTAGTTTTTCTCTTTTCTTTTATTTGTACCTATTTAGATATACTTTTAAAATGTCCGTTTAAAAAAAAATGATGCCTTACCTCTCAAACCTAGTTTTAATATGGATTCAGTCATATTCTCACTGCTATAGCATAGCTTCTTTTGTCTTTTCTATAAATACTTTCAGGTATTGAATTCAGAGTTGTCTTCTTCTAGACTGGTTGCCAACCAAGGCCTCACCTGGATAACTATTTAACACATAGCTGATGAGAAGAAATAGATTCATACCTTTCCTAAGTGTATTTGTGTGAAAGTGAATGCAACAAACTCGGCTAGAATCTGAATTTGGCATGGTAATTCCACTTTCTGTACCAATAAATGCTACACTATAAATAACTAACCTTATTAAAAATAGAGCTGTATTTTTAATCATATCACCCCCATGTAAGGCAGTAAAGTCACTAAGACACAAAAACATAAGAAAAAATTAAACTTATTACCTTGAATTGCTACATATTAAAATAATAGCTGGAAAATTTACAAGGTGTTTGAAAAAAAAGTATTCATTTTTTAACTTCCTATAACTTCTTGAATTTTTTCTTTTTTCAGATCCATGAATTTAATTTCATTTAATACTTAATTTAAACCATTAATCTTCTTTATATTTTTGGTGACATTATATATTTAAAGGACTTCTCTGCTGTAATTAGCCATGGTTAAATGTCACTGACTGAAATTCCAAATGATCAGAATTGACAAAGTTTGCAATAAACAATAAAAAAACAAAGAAAAGAAAACAAGGCAAAAATAATATTGAGCAAATAAAGATGTAAGGCAAAACAACAGTAATAAGGCAAAGAAACATAAACATTTATAAGTATATGGATACACCACCAAAACTCTAGATTGTAAGGTAGCAGCGAGACGACGGTATCTGCCTAGATACTGTTGCCGTAAATCTCTTGTTTAAGTAGCCCTCTCGCCTCTCTCGTAAGCGGGCGAGTCTACTTCTATGGGGTGTGACGCCAAGACCATTCGGTCTTGTAACTGGGCGTCTTAGGGTTCGATTCCACCTCTACACGCCCCTCCCTTCCGGGGCCACAAGATACTCGCGTTGTGGTCCAATGTTTTGAAGCTCTGGAGTAGTCGTGGCGACGTGCCCCCACGTCTGTGGGGATAGGTTCCTGGGTGGTCGCGTCACCCTTCTGCTTTCTGACGCACCGGTTGGTCTTCCTCAACCTCCATCATTCCAGGATGCTGTGTCATCTACCTCCATCGGTTCTGGTAGAGTGTCGGGTGTTTCGGGCTGGTTTTGATCCATATCAGTGGTGGACCATTCTCCCGGTATTTCGGGCCCTGTTGGGTTGTCTATGGTATCCAACATTCCTAGGGGTACCTCAGGTATCGAGTGGCAAGGAGTATCTACTACTGGGTTTATTTTTCGGAGGAATCTGCGATTATGACGGGTTACCCGGTTACTCCCATCCATGCGCGTACATTATACTGCCGGTTACCCAGTGTTTCCACCACCCTTCCTGTCTTTGCCCATCGGCGCTGGTATGGACCAACTTGGTTCTGTATCTGCACCGTTTCCCCGATTTTCAGTTCCTGAAGTGGGTGACTTTTAGATTGTATCCTCTTTCATTCCTTAAGTGTCTTTTTTGCCATCGCTGTTTCCTATAATTTCTCTCCAGCGTTTGTGGATTCGATATCGGTCCTGGGCGCTGGGAGATGGTCCTTATCACACGACCGTAGAGCATCATCGCTGGAGACATATGTAGGTCTCGACCGGGGGTGTTGCGATGAGTCAGTAGGGACCTAGCTGCCTGGTCATGGCATAGGCGACCGCAACTGTCCGTGCTATCAACAAGTATCCTTTTAGCCGTTTTAACTGCCAGTTCTGCTCTCCCGTTGCTTTGAGGGTAATATGCCGATGATGTTCGTTTCCTTATGCCCCAATTATCTAGGAACCGGTTAAATTCACTGGAGTCAAACGGTGGTCCGCCATCGGTTGAAAGTTCCTCCGCACGCATATGCAGCAGAACCAGTTTCGTAGGGCGTCACATGTGGCCTTGGCATTCCCGGACGACATCAGAGTGACTTCTACCCATCCGGTGTATCTATCTGCATATACTAGATAGTTCTTCCTCGTAAATCGAAGAAGTCCGTCACAGTCTTCTGAAATGGGAACTCGGGTTCGAGGGCGCATTAGGGGTTCCTTGGGTTGTGATGGAGCTATTACGTTGCATACTTTGCACTGGGCTGGTTTTTTTTAATGCTCGCGTCCAGTCCTGGCCAAACAGCCGCTGTCTAGCGTTTGCCAACATTCCATTGACGCCCTGATGCGCTGAATGGAGCGATTCCAGTACCTCCGCACGTAGCTTTCTGGGTATGAGGATTTTATTTTCCATTATCGTCACCCCTTCCAAGCAATATAACTCCTCTTTCATATGCCAAAAACGGCGAATTGTCTCCGGCAGTTCGTGCGAGATCTAGGGAAGCCATTTTGTATGAATTCGGCTAGGAACGGCATTCCTCGTCAGTAGCAGCTGCAGCCACAATCCTGTCCCATGTTATTGCTCTTAATTTAGGGTCCTGCTCACAGGTGGAGTTAAATGACGCTCTTATGGCGCTATCCATAGTTTGTGCGATGTCCTTTTCGTTTTGCTTCCTCCTGGCTTAACGCCACTGGGCATCTCGATGTACAGTCTGGTGCTGCATTGAGTTTGCCAGGGAGATGCTTTATTCGAAATTTGTACATCAAGGACCGTTCTTTGAAGTTAAACAGTCTTGGGTTCTTTATGTCCTCCAGAGCTTTGTCCGAGAAGATCTTCACCAGGGGCTTATGGTCCACGGTGACTAACAGCTCTGGGCACCCCAAAAACGAAGATCCGGCATGCTTCCAGTCCGTAGACTAATGCCAATGCTTCTCCTTCCACTGGTGCATATCGGGACTTCGCCATTAGTGAATCGGGAGCCGGCCAGGATTAACTTCCAGTGGTCCTCACCACACTTCGGTCCAGCTTCGGTGGCACAGTTGCAGTGCTTCTGGAAAAGAAAATATCCTAAGCCTGTTTTGCTGAAGTCCGTCGACAAACAAGTTGGCCTATTCACTTGAAGGTTCTTACACCGTTCTCGATTTCTTCTGTGATCCTTCTTTTCGACTCTTCAAGATTCGATCGAGTAAAAGGTCCCAGTAGAACTTCCGATTTTTTGTCTTTAGCAGCTCCCGAACGGGCCATTACCTCGCCTGAGAAAAGCGTAGGCTACCTGGTTTACCATTCCAAACCAGGATCTTATGTCAGTTATATTTTTTGGTGTCGGGAAATTCCGTATTGTTTCAGTCATTTTTCTGGTGGGTTTTATCCCGTCTTCTGTTATCAAGAACCCGCAAATTCCACCTCTTTTTCCGCCAAGTGAAATTTCTGGGGTTGAATACGATACCATTTTTGCTGCAGTTATTTATGTACTCTATAGTATGCCAAAATGATGATTCAATAGAGTTGTCCCATAGTATCGTATCGTCAATACATCTTGTTTTCCTGGTCATATCTACAGTAATATTGTCGAACCTGCGTGTATATCGTCTCCTGACGCTTGGAATCTTTGTGGTGCCCGAAGATAACGGTATCTACCCCATTCCGTGATGAAGGTAGTTGCATCTCTTTGCCGATGGAGAGAGGGTTAGGCTATGATAGCCATTCCATGCATCCAAAACGGTTTTTCTAGTTTTCGCGAGGCACCAGCGATGCCTGATTGAAAGGAGACGGTGTATGATGGGTTTCTCGTAGGGTAGCGGTGTTGAGCTTCTGTAGGTCCACCGTGACGCCTCGGTGACCCGTCCTTTTTCGGTGCAACCACCATTCTAGAGCACCATGTTGTAGGTGTACCCACTGGTACAGGTTCTATGATGCCCAATGCCACGTCTCGGTCGAGATCCTCCTTGACTCTTTTCTTCCAATGGTGTGGGACCGGATTGGGGTGTGGACAGCTGAG